AGTGTTTACATTACAGCCTGGTGATAACTTCACTGGCCACTCCTCAGATGGCTGTTAGAGATCCTTCCTGGGTCATGGCTGCCTAAAATGCATCCAAACAATCAGTGTCTCCTCCCACTGCATGCAGATACTGAACTTTCCTCATAGAGATTCATTGATTCAATTCATCTCTATTTTTATTTATTTATTATTGCCATTTATATAGCGCCAACAGATTCCGTAGCGCTTTACAATATTATGAGAGGGGATTTAACTATAAATAGGACAATTACAAATAAACTTACAGGAACAATAGGTTGAAGAGGACCCTGCTCAATCGAGCTTACATTCTATAGGAGGTGGGGTGTAAAACACAGTAGGACAGGAATTTGCAATCAAATAAGGTGGGCTGCCCTTTAGGAGAGGGCAAGAGACAGGTATGTGAGGTAGGGGTTAGTCTTGGAGGCCATAAGCTTTCCTAAAGAGATGGGTTTTAAGGCACTTCTTAAAAGATGCAAGACTAGGGGAGAGTCTGATGGCGGGAGGCAGACTATTCCATAGGAAGGGAGCCTATGAGGAGATGCTGATTGGCCAGGGCTGTGTTTGAATTATGCTGGCTCTGCCCCTGATCTGCCTCCTTGTCAGTCTCAGCCAATCCTATGGGGAAGCATTGTGATTGGATCAGGCTACCACTTCTGATGATGTCAGCAGACTGCTTGTATTTTTGAGGCAAACAGCATGCAGAGTTACAGCTTCAGGCTTGAATACAGTAAGATGTTGCTATATTTAGGGAGGCATGAGGGGCCCACGGGGGCTAGATGGTGGTTTTAACACTATAGGGTCAGGTACATGTTTGTGTTCCTGACCCTATAGTGATCCTTTAAGCTTGGTAGGTTTTGAGCTCATCTTGTAGCTTAGAACCTGGTGGGGTAGGGGTATCCGGGTATACCCCTACCATGGCTATCAAAGTAAATGGCACTTTATGTATTTTGGTTATGATGTTGACTATTTTGTTATGTAAATGTTTATTGCTTACAAATATGGGGCATTGCCTTTTCCATGATGTGAGGGTTATGTTCTGTTACAGCGTGCGGGTTGGGGGCAATGACTTTATTTAATTATGTTTATGTTAAGTTATGATTAATATATATTTAATAAAGCTGTGGACTTATTTGACCCATATAACATCAGTGTTTGTGTCTTTTTGGGTGGATGATGGGGATAGTTTATTCCACCAGCCCATGTGGCGACAATGCGACTGTCAATAATCTTTTCCAGTTCCATAACGTTCCTGCTGAATAGAATCAAGATTGTATCCTGAGATATCGCCTTGAAATTATTGCAGTATTGATGTTTCATTATTCAGTCATGGTGGGTGACAGCCACATAGTAAAATAAATTAAATATGTGTTAAAATTTATACAAGGTGGTTTCTGTGCTGTACCTCACATTAAATTTAAATTACCTTTTTTGTGTAAAACCTCAACACCAACATCAATTATATTTTGTTTCAGTTTAATCCATTTTGCTTCTTTAATTCACATATAGGTGTAGATATCAAAATGGTTCGAAAATGTATAAATGAACAGAAATGTTCAGTAAAGTATAAATTGATGGGAACATTATAGTGAGTTTCAGATTAGATCAAAATAGCCAAATTGGAAAGGAAAAAGTCGGATATATCTTAGGTTTTGCTGTTTTGACCTGATACTTTATTTTTTTTTTAATTGATGGAAATTCTTACTTTACACAATAACAGCGTATTTCTGTTAATTTATGAGATTTTTCTGTGAGGAAATATCATGCACGTCGGTTGGTGACATCTTAAAATGTGCACACAAGGGAAAAAATTGTTTACCTTCAGGAATGTTTCCATATTCGGCTTAGAGTTTTCTTAAGTAAGGAAGTATGTAGAAAGGTATGTAAAGCAGCTGATATAAATATAACATGTAACCTGCATATATTCAGAGCGTAGTGGAAGGTGTATTTTGTCTTGAACGTAGGATGCCAGGGATTTCTATTAATATTTTTAAAATAACCCTTGACAGAGATGCATATTTTTCAATTTTGAAACAGTCACTGCTGATGAAATGCATTCTTTTTGACTTCACTATACATTCCTAATATACATTAGAATATTTCCACATTACGTTAAAAGTTGAATCAAATCTATTTTTTTCCAATATTAGGTCAATTCAATGACATTGTGTGACTTGGCGCACATGCATCATTATCTGCTCACAGGTCACACAATCACAACTGATTTGATAGATTATGCTCTTAAAATAGATTTCATTTTGTTGAATCACTGACGATTACAACTCGGGTTTGCTTTGGTCTCATTTACAGCCTGAGATTCAAATTGCGATTCTATTTAGGTATTTATTGTGCCTTTATCCTATTGTAATACTCGGAAGAAGCAGGGACTTGTGTTGTCAATATTGCTCAAAACATAGAACCTCAAGTAAAATGCTCAATGTGTATAGGTGTTTCCACTTTACATGTGCCTGGGACACCCAGCTAAGTTGCCAAAGTGTTCTTAAGTGATTTGACAAATTACAATGAGAGGGTGACTGACACTATACCTACTACAAAAAAACATAGCGGTTATGGTGCTTTGCATCTTCCATTGATGACGTCCAGGTTTTCAATTATCTGAATGATATGTTTCAGCTCTTTATAAGTTCTTGGGGTCCCAGGTAAGTTGCCAAACCGTTCTAAAGTAGTTGGAGAAATTACACTGTGAGGCCTCCATAACCACTACAAAGTGCCAAGGTGATTGTGGTACTTTACATTTTGGAATTTGCTTTACTACTTTGCCCTTAGGTTATGGTGTCTGCTCACATTCCATTCTATATTAGTAATTATAGTAGCTATGTTGTACTCCTATTTTGCTGGACACATTGTGTCCAGTTGTTCTAGTTGCACTGCTGGTCTACACTGGATCATTAAACTCATTGCAGAGTGTGATTACTCCAGAGTGACAGGTCTACTAGAGATTACATAGTGCCAAAGGGCATCGTTAACTGTCACTGTGCTGGCTTCAAATACAGCCGGAATGGTTGAACATGTTTGGATGTAAAATCAGATTTGTTAGTCCAGTTCTGCAAGTTTTAATCCAAATAAAAAACCAAGGTAATGCATGCTTTGTAGAAAATGAAGGAACTGTGGAAAATTGATTGCGAGTTTTAGGCTACTTGGGCACAAAATGTGCAGTTCCATTGTCAGTGCAATGGAGCTTCTAATTATTTAGGCAAAGTAATGCTTCAGCACACCTCAATTTATATTTGAAAAAATATTTATTTTATCTCAAGTCACCTGTAACACGTAAATATGTTGTTTTTTTTAGATGACATTGTGAGATGGTCATTATATAGTTACGAATTTTTTTCTTTTTTTAAAATTTTTTTTCTTTTTTCTTTTACTATTATTTCTTTCTTTACTGATTGAATATATTTTTTTTAAATTCTTTTTTTTTTTTGCTCCACTCACAAGCAAGAGAGAGCTAATGCAGGAAAATTTAAAAACATTACAATGAAAAACATGGAATGCGTAAACATACACACTGAGAAACATATGTAACGGCCTGTGAGTAGAGGGCTTTTAGTAGGTATGTTAGATGGGTTATCCCTGATAGAGTCCGACATCCAACCTTACATCGGGTATCTGTCTTGTGGGTCCGTAGGGGGCCATGTAAGGGCAGTTATTGCTGAAGAGGGATAGGGTGGGTCGCAGGGTGAACTACTGCTTGGGTTAGGTGGTGTGCCTGGGTGCCGTTGTTATGCAATAGCACTAGTTGTTATGCTAAGCTGTAGCGCGAGTGAGAGGGGAATTAGGTGGCTACCGGTCCGTGAGGTGAGTCTTGGGGCACCCCCGGTCCTGTTTGACTAATATAGGATTGCTTGCGGGTAATGGCGGTGTGGGGGAGGGTTGGTCGCCTTGGGTTATGGATCTAAGTGCCTGCTGGTGGCTTGGGCAGGCATTACGTATTATAAAAAGGAAAACGATAAGGTGAAATGTCCAACAGAAAGCAAAATCAACTCCGAACCGCAGTGGTTCGTGGTCCTGGATAGGGGACAGGTGTGGTGCAGGTGCCAGTCCAACTTCTCAAGTGGTGATTGCTGCGTATGCTTCGGCTGTAGCTCTCTGTGGTACGAATGGTTTGCTTGTTGCCGGGTTCCATTTATGTGTGGCTGGGCCCGTCCCGCTGGTGCCCAGTTGGACTTATTATGGACTGAGGTTATTGCTTAAAGAAACATCTATGAAAAACAATATGTTCCATTTCTAACACCTTGTCAGTTTGCAATATCTCTTAAAGACAAAGTGCACAGTTTAAGAAATACAACATTTCATTCTAAAACTTGTAATATTTGCACTTGCCCATAACAAAAGAATGTTTAGAGTAGAATGGATTAATGGAGTAGGGTACTTTGTGAGTATTCTGCTGCAAAAAACATAGACCCTGTTACAAAAGTGGGCTGGTTACTTCAAAAGTGGACTTAGCTAAGTAGGATGTAAGCAACAGCAACTACCATTATCAGCATAAGAAAAGGAGGTTTGTTCAGATACCTGACAGAGTATTAGCAATTGGATGGCCATGGGAATGTACATACTTCTTTATGGTGTGCCCAAGGTGAGTGAATGGTCCCCATCCTGAATTAACACCAATAGCGATACTCTTGCTTCAATGTTGGCTGCTTATTATCTAGTGGAAGATAATTAAAAAAAAAGAATAAAACTTGACTTTACCTTCATATATACATTATCTGTTTTTTACGGAGGAAACACTTGTGTGTAGGTAGCGGTTATCGTGTGGTGTGAACCATAACAATCCCCAAAATCGCTCAATTCCCCCCCAATAAAACTAGGAAACGTATATGTGGTATAAAAAGGCCACAGCTTTATTTATAAATTAACAAACAACTGTAAATAAACCAACCATAAATAATTTCGGTGTAAGTATGCTTATCTTCAAACTAGTCCTTGCCAACCGTACCACCAAAACTCTAGGGTACACCCCCCACCAAGGCATCGGCCCTCCCCCCTCGTCCAAGATACCTGGCCTTCACTTTGGCCTTCAAACTCCACATGCCAACCCCTGGCCACCTTTCCTGGCACGGAGGGCATGCCCAAATACCCAAAACATTTTCGAGGTCAGGGGAGGGACCCGACCCAGCATCTTTCTTTTTCTTTACTCCTCTTCCCAATAGGTTCGGCAAGGACCATACCCGCCGGCTGTGACAAGAAAAAATTGTTAATGACAAACAGACAAACAACGCAAACAAACAGGGGAGTCAGGGGACTAGTTACCTTGCTGTTAAATTTAAGATGGCTGAGGTAGCAGACAAAATGTCACCTATTTATATGACCCCACCCTACTCCTTAGCTAAATCACACACCCATGCTTCCACCACACCCACCACACCCACACATGCCTCCTATCCGGCTAGCTTTCAGCCCGCCTCCTCTGGGCCTTGGTATTTTGTGGTGTATTTTTTAAATAAAATTTAGTTCACATATTTAAAATAAGCAATAATATTGTAGTTTGTTTTATTAATACTTTTTTTTTTAATGATTGTTTTAAAAAAGAATGCCATTTGTGTTTGTGTTCCAGGCCAGTGCACTTTGGGTACAAACCAAGAAGGAAGACATGTTGCGTCCATAGAATTTCTCTTGAATCTCGATCTTCACATCATGAAAAGTATACTTAAAGAAAAACCGAAACAAAAAAAACTATTAAGTCAAAGTGTAATAATAAAGATTATCCAACTTAATTGCCATACACATGTTACATAATAATTTTATACCTTGTTTATAGGAAGCCACAAAGTAATTGCGAAATAGGTGAAGATAATTATTCTAAACAGTGGCACAACACAGTGTACGCAATTAATATTATGCCTTTTCATTCCCAGTAGCGACTCTACATATAAAAATTTGTTCCAAAGACAACTTTGCTACTGATGAAACCACCCATACTGGATCATCCAAGTTATTAAAAAGAGGCGAATGTGCTTGTCAAACTGCAATGCAGACAAAGACCTCCTATTAATCAGGTGTACTTTATGCTTTTACAGTATAAGCAAGAGATGATGTTGACACAGCAGTCAGTGGTTTACCAAGGTGGAACTTGTGTTAGAGTTATAGTTCATCTAAAAAAATAATAATAACCTTTTAAAGCCAAAATTAAAAGCAAATGTTAACCAGAAAATGATTTAGAAGTCACTCTAAGCTCCATACCAAATGCTTGTTGCACAGGTTTTGTAGCAGGCAGGTCCCCTATCTGTTTCTCTGCACATACTGATAACTGCAGAGTTTTGCAAAAACTTTTAGTGGGTGATGTCAAATTAAGAGGACCACTATAGGCACCCAGACCACCTCAGCTTAATGAAGTGCTCTCGGTGCCGGTTCCAGCTAGGATTAACCCTTTTTTCTATAAACATAGCAGTTTCAGAGAAACTGCTATGTTTCAGAGAAACTGCTATGTTTATAATAGGGTTAATCCAGCCTCTAGTAACTGTCTCATTGACGGCCGCTAGAGGCGCTTCCGCGCTTCTCACTGTGATTTTCACAGTGAGAAGATGCCAGTGTCCATAGGAAAGCATTGAGAATGCTTTCCTATGGACTGGCTGAATGCGCGTGCGGCTCCTGCCGCGCATGCGCATTCAGCCGATGACGTCGCTATAGAGGAGGAGGAGAGTTCCCCGCCCGGCGCTGGAGAAAGAGGTAAGTTTAACCCCTTCCTCCCCCTAGAGCCCAGCAGGAGGGGGACCCTGAGGGTGGGGGCATCCTCAGGGCACTATAGTGCCAGGAAAACGAGTATGTTTTCCTTGCACCATAGTGGTCCTTTAAGAGTGGGTAATACTTTCCTTGCTGTCCTAATCTTGGGCGCAGGCTGCATGCTGTCTAAGTTCCATTTTTTTACTTTACTTTTTAAAATAAAATGTTTTAATTAAGTATTGATGCAACAAATCTTCTGAAATTAGAACTTTGATTCTTAATCGAGTGGAGTCGAGGCATAGGGGAAATGGAATTTACTCTGTGGCCAATAATATATAGGGCAAATATTAACGACTATGGCATAAAAGGCATCTGAGAGTAAAACAAAAGAAAACAAACAATATTCCCCTAACTTAGCGGGCAAAAGAGGGGGAAGGTGAGGAAGATGTGAAACTAGTCATCTTCAAGAATGGCATTATATCATTAAAGGACCACTATAGGCACCCAGACCACTTCAGCTTAATGAAGTGGTCTGGGTGCCGGGTCCATCTAGGATTAACCCTTTTTTCTATAAACATAGCAGTTTCAGAGAAACTGCTATGTTTATGTTAGGGTTAATCCAGTCTCTAGTGGCTGTCTCATTGACAGCCGCTAGAGGCGCTTCCGCGTTTCTCACTGTGATTTTCACAGTGAGAAAATGCCAGCGTCCATAGGAAAGCATTGAGAATGCTTTCCTATGGACTGGCTGAATGTGCGCGCGGCTCGTGCAACGCATGCGCATTCAGCCGAGGAGGAGGAGATCTCCCCGCCCAGCACTGGAGAAAGGTAAATTTAACCCCTTCCACCCCCTACAGCCCGGCGGGAGGGGGACCCTGAGGGTGGGGGCACCCTCAGGGCACTATAGTGCCAGGAAAACTAGTATGTTTTCCTGGTACTATAGTCATCCTTTAACGTTACACAGACAGCGCGGACTCTGTTGGTACTGTTGAACAGTACTTTAGTCATAGAGGTAAAGGCGTCAAAGGGTTGTAACTGAAAACAAAACACAAACCAATAATTGCAAAGTATATACAATACGAACAACATTTACTGTATTATGTAAAAACATAAAGAGAATAAAATATCTTTCTAGTAAGTATGTGATAAGTGCACACTTGAAACAAGAATCATTTAGCCCTCATTTTCCTGTCTCTTGGAACAAAGGGAACCATGTTTTGGGGATCCCAAGAACCAGAAAGACATTCAGAGGGTGGTGATGTAGTGGTGGCACCCAGCTTGGAGAGAAAAAGTGTCCCCTCGGCCAGTGAGGTAAGTTTATGAAGTGTCTCATCTTTGTGTACCAGAAGTGTTCTCGGTGTGGACCAATGATAGAGTAATCCCTTGTTGTGCAACTGTGTAATGACCAAACTTATTGTTTTCCTCCACTGTAAGGTGGATTTGGTGAGGTTGCTGAAAAAGGTGAGTTAGTCATACTCAGAAGTGTATAGGAATTTCCACTTGAGATCAATCATTAGGTGACATTTGTCCATTAGATATGAAAAATAAATAACAATTCAGGCACTTCGGGATAGCAAAAATAGCAGCTTTATTAATGTAAAAACAGAAAGTTTTGACCCTGCCGGGTCTTCATTACATTGCTGTTTTTTCCCCAATAAAGCTGCTATTTTCTATAATCCCGGAGTGCCTGAACTGTTTTTTATTCTACATATCTTGGAAGGGAGGCCTGGACAGCCCTGGTTTCAAAGCACCTGGGTTGCTTGGTGAAGGCGGTGTCCAGTACGTCTCTACTATTTGTCCATTAGAGACTGACAATGAGCAATCACATCCCTGAGGGCAGTGGCGGGTACCCTAAGCTATTTTTAATACAGTAACCACCATCAAAGATTAGATTATAGGCAAGCTTAGGTGGGAGAGTAGATACGACTAGTCGCTGTAAGAAATGGGTTCTTCCACCCCCTTAGTAACAGAAATGTCTCTGATTTTGATAATGTGCCTCCTAATTCTGTGCTAATCCAGAGAGTCTAACCTCAAAGCCAGCTCCTTTTTGCTGGGACTGGATTTAGGCAAATCTCGAATTTTGGGACTTCCAAATAGTAGCCACATCTTGATGTAGTGCCATAACATCCTCCTCTGTTGCTTGAACTCTATCCGTGACAGCATTACCTCCACCCTAACTACTGCGATATCCACATTAAGTAATTAATTTCTCGCTTTGTGGCAGGTTCTTCACCATCTGAGGTCACCTAGATCTCTGCCTAGGTGGAGGTTTTGTAGTCAGGGTCACCATCCTCAGGTGCAGATGGGCAGAGCTCCGTAGTGGCGGACTCTGGCAGTCTAGATCTCAGGTGGCACTGAAGTAAGGTCTTGATGTCATAGGTATCGATGCCCAGGACATCATGGGGCTTTTGCATGCATCTGTGATGTTACAGGCCGTTGAGCATCCCAGAAAGCGTTTAGGAAGGCAATGACACCAGAGCCACTTGAAATGGCGTCTAACCAGAGTAGCTGTCAGGCCCCCCCACTGTCCAAGTTCCTATCTCACCATGCAGGCATACATTGTTGGCAGCTCAGATAAATGGGCAAACAAGAAAGAGAGGCTTTGTTTGGTTGAGAAGGTAAAACTTTTAAAAATAATGCAGTTACCAAAGCTATATAGTGCACTGAAAACATGATCTGAGTGACAGTCATGGAGGGGATGTGTATCTATTGAAATCGGCACTTTTATAAACCATCACAAATATGACAAACTCCAGATATATAAAGCACTTCAACAAACTGAAGTGGTCCTTTATCAAATGTCAGCTGTGGTGGTAGAACTGGGATACCTGTGCTTGCTAATTATGCTTTGGAAAGATTCAGGTCCTTCAATGTCCCGTATTACTAAGAAAACTATGGTTTATACTTACTGCACAACTTCGAGAAACAAAAGTAGAACACCTTCAAAATGATCAGTCTTGGATCTAGAGTGGGCCCTTACCATCATATCAATGGGTTTCCTACCAACTCATTTTGATTTTACTTTTTTTCCCTTTGTATATTCTTTAATTTCTTGTTATGAAAATTAAAGTTTAGATGGTGATTGTCTGTTCACCTGTGGACCTTGTGCATACAGCCTGCAGGGTTTTCCTTAACAAGCAGACACATCTACATATATATATATATATACAATGTAGCATCTTATTAATGAACGTATCATTAACTATTAACAAGGTAGGTCAAACCCAGAGACTATAAATACACAGTCCATGAAAACCAGGTTATGGAATAAAACTGGTATTTATCTGTGGCTTGGAGATTCAATTCCTCCACGGTATGTATATCTTTCACTCATCTCAGCCAAACTTTCATTGTCACTACACCTCTATCTGCCTCCAGGATGTGGGAATCAGATCAATGGTGACATTGATTAAGTAGGTAGGAAATGGAATCAGACCAATGTAAGTCATCAAAGATTTTCAATAAGATGCCACTGAGTAGAGAATTGTGTAGCAAAAAGACCCTCTGGTATAATCTGGGGTAGGGTTATTCATTTCAGCCCTCACATAGAACATACACTGAATCCCGGAGAGTGTTGAACTAAAACACATGAACACCAGATATGAAGTATAGTAGTACCCTCTGGCAGACCACATCTCCCACCAACATCCTACACATCTCACGGGCAGCAACCCAAATTTACAATGGATACTGTACCAGCATGAGAGCAATTTAAAAACCCACTTAGCTTAGTGCCCCCACTGCTTAATATTACCTGTTCTCACTATTCCTGCTACATTCCCCTGACCTTGACTTGTCATTGTATGACATGTCTACATCCTTTGCCATCACTATGTGCTATCAGTGTCAGCTGTCACAAAACAGATCCTTTGTGATTTGCCATTCAGTTCCTTTGTTCTAGCATGTAGAAATTCACTGTATTGTCTTTGCTGTATCAATATAAATAAAGCATTTCCTGCACAGTGTCATATCTGGCAGGTGTTAATCCTCATCCCAAAATGGCCTTGCGCATTCGGGCCCATAAACTACAGTCCATGTATTTACCAGATGGCAACAAAAAAGTTCCAGACGCCATTAGATTTTGAAAAACAAATTATTTTATTTTTGCAGGAAAATAAAAAGCGAACACTACAGAAGTAATTCTGTTTTTCCTTAGAAAAGGGAATAGAATAGTTAAAACATTTCAACATTTAAATCTCTGGCATGCTCCAAAGCACTCCACTTCCTGCTGTGACAGACTGCTGCTCAGATTCACTGGCAGTTTACCATGAATTAATCAGTATGGTTCACAGAGATCACTGAGAAAGGTAATCAGATGGGTGTTTGTAACATTCCAAAAGTCTGCTGTTTCCTCGGAGTACAGTAACAAGGTGAATTCAGGTGAAGGCTTGGATCCAGGACTGATGTAACTGGCAAATCCTTTTCATTGCAAATAAAGATGACATAGGTCAAGGCTTTTTAAGCTTCAATGTAATTTAAAGAGAAACCTTTACTTCTCTGGAAATTACTCAGTTGAATAAAACATTGAAAGTTATCTATAACTTGTGCCAAACCTTTTCATGCGATGATCTGTTTAGTTTAACATGAATAATAAAGATTAGCAGTGGACATCACATGCCAGTTAAGTCCTGGCACATCCAGGGAACATATTGCTTTGGAGTAGAAAAATGCCCCATTGTTTCTGTATCTATTTCTGTCTCTATACTGACTGCCGCATGCAAAGAGCAGAGCTTATAACGATGACTGACTGAGAGCCAATAGGAAGACACTCACAGGGTTATACAGACACACAGTTACAGTCAGTCAGTCATATAAGCACAGTCACACACTGGTACAGTCAGGCAGTCGTACATACACGTACAAGCAGTGAGTCACACACAAACATACAGTCACACACACATAAAGTTACAGGCAGACAGTCACACACACACAGTTACAGGCAGACAGTTAAATGCAGGCACAAAGTTACAGGCAGACATTCACATACACACACACTTACAGGCAGACAGTCACACACACACTTACAGGCAGACAGACAAACACACACACAGTTATAGGCAGAGAGTAATGATGTTACAAAATGTAACAAAAAGTTACAGGCAGACAGTCACACCCACTGTTACAGACACACACAGTTGCAGGCAGACAGTCACACGCACAGACAGTTACAGGCAGTTACAGGCAGAAAGTGGTGATGTTATTTAGTCAGGCACACATACACACAGTTACAGGCAGTCTCCCACATATAAATTAACAATAAGGCAGTCACACAAAAACACACAGTTACAGGCAGACATATATAAAGTGTTGCATGACATCTGCACATTACTGCCATTACACCCTTTTAAGTCAGCAATGTATCCAGGAGCGTACCTAGAGCATTTGGCACCTGGGGCCGGACCCTGAGTGTGGCACCCCCTATAATAAAAATGTAAGAAAACACCCACAATTTTTTCAATGTTTTCAATAATATTTATTGCACAAATTTGTAAACTGTATATCAACTCGAAAAAAATTGAACTATGAAAAATAAATTAACTTACAAATAAATTAAATTTAAATAATTAACATTTACTTAACAGTTAATACGCTTTCTATAAACAAAAAAACACACAGATCCAAAGTGACCACTCAGTCTATTCGGCAGAGGTATTGTGCAATGATTCACATCCGCTGCCTTCGAGCCTTCATTTCTGCAAATTTATCAATTACTTCGTCAAAGCCAATCTTCCTTGCATATTCATGCTCAATTGAAAGTATAGCCAGATTTGTCAACCTTGTCTCACTCATGGTTGAGCGAAAGAATTTTTTTTATCAATTTTAATTTGGAAAAACTTCTTTCACATGAAGCAATAGACACACAGAGAGTCAAAAAGAATCTTAAACACAGTGACAAATTTGGCAGAGATTCACAATAATCCCATTTAACAATGAACTCCAGGAACTGCAATGCCGTCCATTTCTTTGCTTCTTCAACACTGATCTTGGCAGCTTCCAATGCCTCCGAAGACGTTCAGTTTCCCTAAAGATGTCTTCATTAGAGAATTCGTCAAAAATTTCAGTCGGGGGCGGGGCCTGACCGCAGGACTGAGAGGAAGCAAACCTCTGCAGCTCCTGCCGAACAGCGCAAAAAAGCGAGGAAAAAGCCACAAAAACGACACTACTAAGCTAATCAAAGGCCACCAGGTGACAGACGACACCGGGACACATACGGCGATATCAAACGAGTGACACATGCCCCGGTACGTACCGGCCACACGGATGAGGCCTACCAGCATGGCGGGAGCGGGAGGGACGGCCGCCCTCCCTCCACCAAGACAGGCCAGAAAAGTGCCCCAGAACACCCGTTCCCCCCCCTATGGACCGGTGGGGGTCATCCCGGTCCACCCCTACGCAACTCTCTGGCAGAGCGGGAGGAGAGAGACAGAGACAAGGAGGCACGGGACTCCCGCCTTTGTAGCCCGCAAGATGGCGGATGTCCCTCACACTGCAGGCCCAGGAGATGCGGAGCTCGACACGGAACTCAGACTGAATGCAATTTTCGCCGCGTTTTGGAAGAAGTTAGAGGCGCGCATGAGACCCCAAGCTCCTGAAGTCATCCTACAACAGGGCTCTCACGGAGCTGATAAGCGGGGAGTGCGGACCCCCGACCCCAGATACATGCCCGCAAACAAATGTCGCCTGCAAAGAACGGCCAGGAGGCCCAACACTCGGAGCCTCGCAAAAAGCAGCAGTGGACCGGGGCTAATACCTGAAACCGCACAGGTACTCAGGAAGCACCGACCCAAACAACCAGCCTTAGCAGCAAACAATCGGCATGAAATCGGACAAGGCAAACCTCGCCCGGAACGAGCGGTGGGTCAGCAGGGCAGAAGTCTCTACAAGATGACCGCGCTAAAGAGACAGTCCCAGGGCCGCAGCGAAGCACCCAACGCAATGGGGCTCACCAGGGGAAGGATCTGGCAAGGAGACATAGACGACGACCCGCACAAGATCCATCACGCCAGCACCACCCTCCGAGCATCAGGCGTGGGATGAACAACCCGGACTGGACTCTAAAAACCGTGAGCTCCATATTGCTCAGTATATGGCTTCATATGTCATACCGCTTAACATACCTCGGACTAGATTCATCATTGCTATCTGGACTGTCCATTCAAAGCAGAACCTAGTTAACGCAGATCCTGTGTAAATGAGCAGACTCCAGCTGTTAATATGTTTTCTTTTCTGTGCCATACCTGCCTCGCTCTTCTCTCACTCTCTTATAACAAGCAACAACTACATGTCATGCTTAATACGCTTGCACTATATCTTTTTTCATACACTCTTGCCTACTGAAACACCTTAATTGTAAAATTGAAGCATCTACATAGCATGCCATAGTATTGTTTTCTGTTGTGTTTCTTCCTCGCCACAAGCGTATATGTTTTACTTAGCATGCACTTCCTACTCATGCTATACTTACCTTAACACTTAATCCAGAAATGCGACGTATAGCCTGTAACCTAAGCATATTATTTATTTTGTTTTACTTTAATCTAACGATTTCACTGTCTAACCAAGCTTGTTACCATTACATAACATGGGTAATCTCTTAAGCCACTGTCTAATCTTAGTACTTCGTTCAACACGCTGTTGTGGCGTCAGTCAATGGATGTTAGACCTCTTAATTATCGTTACCTTTCCTATTTAAAAAATTTATGCATACCCTATATGCCACAATACTGTTATAAAATTGTTTTGGAAATCGAGCCTGCTGACGCTGTTGTGGCGATACAGGCACTGTTGTACCTATCTGCATACCAAAAATAAAGAATTATAAAAAAAAAATTTCAGTCAATTTTGGAGTATAATTACGAATATCTTTCTCTGTTGCCACAACCAGAGAGTTTGGCTGAATAACAGCAAACATTGAAATGATTTTTTCAATTGCCTGGGAATGAATTTCCAACTCGTGATGAAAACGATCAAGGCACTCAAACATAGCCCTTTTCATTTCCTCTGGCAATGTGAGACCAGCGTCCTTTGCCTTCTCTCCTGGCATTGTTTTATGGAGCTTTACTCTCCCTCTTCTTTCCATTGAAATGTCCATTTCTTTACATGTAGTAGTTGCATAACAAATGGCCTTCTCCACAATTTCACTTCACGGGTCTTCAAGAAACGCTCTCAGATCTTGTAGATTCACAATGCACTTTTCAAGAGTGAGTCCCAGAGTTTGCAAATATTTCTGTGTGATATTAACTTCTTCTAGAACTTCACACCAGAAAGAAAGGGAACACAAAAAAGAAAAATCACATACGGCAGACAGCAACATCTGAGCCGATCCTCTTGTGTTCACATTTTCTTTGGGATTACACAGTTTTTAAAGGGCTGAAGTCAGTTTTTCAAAATTTGCCATCACTGGCTTCACAGCATCATAATGAGCGCTCCATCTTGTTTGGGAAAGTCTTTTCACTGTCACACCTAACTTCTCCATCAACAATTCCCAATGTGTAGAAACCGAAAAAAAGGAATACACTCTCTCCAATGTTCCAAAAAAGGTCACACAGGAAACAACACTTCCAAGTGAGTGCACCCAACATAGGTTCAGGGAATGGTTTGCACATGGCATAAACAAAGCCTTGGGATTAATCTCTTTTATTTTTGCCTGAACACCACCATGAATCCTTGCCATAGTTGCAGCATTATCATATCCTTGACCACGGCAAAGGCTTATGTCTAGTCCATCTTCCTCCAGATGTTGCAGGATATTTTCTGTGAGCTCAGCAGCAGTCTTTTCAGCAACAGGAAAGAAGCCCAAGAATGATTCCTTTACTTTAACATGATCCCCTTCAATATGAACATATCTGATCACTTCACACATCTGATCAGTGTGGGACACATCAGGGGTGCTGTCAAAAAGAATCCCAAAGTACTTTGCTTTCTTGATATCAGCCACTATTTTGTCCTTCACATGAGTTCCCAAAAGACAAATTAATTTGTTCTGAATTTTTGGAGAGAAATAGGAAGTCATTCTCTTTCCAGATGCAACAGCATGTTTCAGCCTCATGAAATGTTCCTTTAAAATGGGATCATAGTTTGAGAGCAATTCTACCAATTCGAGGAAGTTGCCTTTGTTTGCGGATGACCACGAAAGGGAAGATTCTGGTGAGCCAGAAACAAAGTTACATCCAAGAGGTGATGCAAAATATCCTTCCATTTCCGTTTCTCTCTGTCCACTGTTGTTTGATGGACATGATCAAGGCATTTTTGTAGCTTCAATCCTGCTCTCAAGTTCTTCCATTTCTCCAAGCATGTAAGATGCTGCTCAGAAGCCTCATGATCAGACACCTTTGGGTTCAGCTTCCACCACAATTGAAACCCAGTAACAAAACTGGATGCCCCTGTTTCTTTGTCATCAACAGCAAAAAGTCTGCAGCAAAAACAAAACAAACTTTGTTTTGATGGAGAGTACCATGTTCTAAGAATTTTTTCGTCATTAGGCAGAGCCTTATAGAACCATGCAGTGGTCAACTGTTGACTCTTCCCTTTTGATTTCTCTCCTTGCCTTTCAACAGGACTGAATGGCCCATCTCTATTTTGGAAAGGTTCACTTCCCCTCTTAATAAGGTCCACTCTTAAAACATCTGCAACTGGCCAAGCAGCAACATCAGAATAAACTGACAGTCGAACAGTCTCCTCTTCTTCTTCATCATCATCAGAGTCTTGCTGATGCAGGCTTTTGCTGGCATCTCCTTCGTCTACATCACTTTCACCGCTTGAAGATAAAATGATCTTCTCCAATTCTTGCACTTTCACATATGAAGCTTCTTGAGAAGATACTTCAGGCATTTCACCTCTGGATTCACCAGACTGAACGTCTTCAGAACTTTCTCCTACTGCGGTAGATGTTGAAGGTGCAACATATTTTAAAATTGATCCAGCCTCAGCTGACTTTTCTCTTGCCTTCTTAATTACTTTAATTACTTTAATTACTTAAGACCTGCTTGGTCGATTTCGCTTCATATTGGTGTTTTCTGCAGAAAAATCCTAAATGTATTTTGGCTCTAGGGTTCACTAGTGCGATATCTGTCTTATATTTCCCATCTTGGCATACCATTTGTAAAAGTAGACAACCCAGGGTATTTAAAAGGACACTATAGTCACCCAGACCACTTCAGCTCAATGAAGTAGTCTGGGTACCAGGTCCCCCAGATTTTAACCCTCCAGATGCAAAAATCGCATCCAGCTTGCAGAACATCCATAGGAAAGCATTGAGAAATGCTTTCCTATGGACTGTTTGAATGCGCGCGTGGCTCTTGGGAGGAGAGGTCACCAGCACCGAAGGAGCCCGGCGCTGGATTAAGGTAAGTGGCTGAAGGAGTTTTAACCCCTTCAAACCCATTCAGCCACTTACCTTTCTCCAGCGTCGGGCTCCCTCGGCGCTGGTGACCTCTCCTCCCCCTGCCGACGTTAGATCCGAATGCGCATGCGCGGGAAGAGCCGTGTGCGCATTCAAACTGCCCTTAGGAAAGCATTACTCAATGCTTTCCTATGGACGGCCAGCATCTTCTCACAGTGAGTTTTCAGTGAGAATTGCGGAAGTGCCTCTAGCGGCTGTCAGTGAGACAGCCACTAGAGGCTGGATTAACCCTCAGTGAAACTGCTATAAATCTCCCCCGCGCTGCACCCCCCTTTATTTAATCCACACCCCCCCTTTAATTAATCCACCCCCCTTAAATGAATCCACACTCCCTTTAATTAATCCACCCCCCTTTAATTAATCCACACCCCCCTTTAATTAATACACCCCCCTTTAATTAGACCTCCCCCTTTTAATTCTTTAATTCACAACCCCCTTTAATTAATCCACACCCCCCTTAATTAATCCACAGCCCCCTTTAATTAATCCACTCCCCTTAATTAATCCACCCCCTAATTAATCCACCCCCCCTTAATTAATCCAGCCCCCTTAATTAATCCACCCCCTTTAATTAAAC